AAAAAAAAAAAAAAAAAAAAAAAAAAAACGTTGAAAAAAAAATCATGTATATACATCACTTAGCTGCTTATTTTATATCACATGTAAAATTGCATTTTAATATTACATGTGAAATATACATTTCGTATAGACAAAGGATTATGTAGCACGTATACATAAGGTATTAAAATGAATAATGTTGTAACAACTGTTAGAAGTTTTAGAGACCATAGGCACTCTTCTTTAATTACATTCCTTATCTCTTATCCCCACTCAAAGCCACAGTGCTCCCAAAAGAGAACCACTGTCTTGAATTTTGAATTACTTATTTTTATTAACTCAAGAGTATACCATATACACATCATGTCAATAGATATTGGTTAACTCCTCTTTTTTTTTAATTTTTGTAAATGTGTATGCACTAGCATATGCATTATTTACATAAACAGTGTATCACACATTCTTTTTATCTGATTGTAGTATTTTTTCTTTATCTACTCTACACTTCCTTCTTTTCCTCTCCTCTACCCACTTCTGCCTCCCCTTACCTGACCCCACAGACAGCCTACTTTAAAAATCTGGTGTTGTGGAGAAATGGGAACCAACCTTGCACTGTTGGTGGGAATGCAAACTGGTGCAGCCGCTCTGGAAAACAGTGTGGAGGTTCCTCAAAAAATTAAAAATAGACCTACCCCATGACCCAGCAGTAGCACTGCTAGGAATTTACCCAAAGGATACAGGAGTGCTTGATGCATAGGGGCACTTGTACCTCAATGTTTATAGCAGCACTCTCAACAATAGCCAAATTATGGAAAGAGCCTAAATGTCCATCCACTGACGAATGGATAAAGAAATTGTGGTTTATATACACAATGGAATACTACATGGCAATGAGAAAGAATGAAATATGGCCTTTTGTAGCAACATGGATGTTATGCTAAGTGAAATAAGTCATACAGAGAAGGACAGATTCCATATGTTTTCACTCCTATGTGGATCCTGAGAAACTTAACAGAAGACCATGGGGGAGGGGAAAAATGGTTAGAGAGGGAGGGAGCCAAAACATAAGAGACTCCTAAAAACTGAGAACAAACTGAGGGTTTATGGGGGGTGGGAGGGAGGGGCGGGTGGGTGATGGGTATTGAGGAGGGCACCTGTGGGGATGAGCACTAGGTGTTGTATGGAAACCAATTTGACAATAAATTTCATAATAAAAAAAAAAGTAAAAGTAGAGTTTTCACCACTAAATCACACACACACACACAAATCTGGTGTTCAGTCTTGCTTTTTTCTATACTTTGCTCCCAATTTATTTCATCATATACAAATACTGTCAACAGTTGTACATTTTGGGGTACCTGGGTAGCTCAGTTAAGCGTCCAACTTCAGCTCAGGTCATGATCTCATGGTTCGTGTGTTCAAGCCCCACACTGGGCTCTGTGCTGACAGCTAAGAGCCTGGACCCTGCTTCATATTCTGTGTCTCCCTCTCTCTCTCTCTCTGCCCCTCCCCCACTTGTACACTCTCTCTCTCTCTCTCTCTCTCAAGAAGAAATAGACATTAAAATTTTTTTAAATAGTTATACATTTTACAAATATTCCTACTCATATATAATGGTGAAAATATAATATACATAATGGCCTGTGTAAATGTGTACATTTATTTTAAAATTTATTTTAAGTGGAATATTATAATTATTTGTGTTTTATATTGCTTATTCAATAATAACTAAAAGAAATTGATCCATGTCAAATGATATAACTTTATTTTGTTTTCTTTTTCATGTCTATATGATATTCAGTATTGTGGCTGTACATAGTTTATTCAGCCACTTTCATTTTGACAGTCATTTGTTCATGGTCATTATTTCCACTATGGACATTGCTTTAAGAAACACACATACACGTAAAACCTTTGTCTAGGGCCTTTATCACTTTAGGATAGATTTCTAGGAGTGAGACTATTGGAGTTAAAGATATTTTTAATTTTAATAAGTGTTGTTTCATACTTTTGTAAAAATGATTTAACATTTGTATTTCCAAAAGAAATTCATGAAAGAATACTTTTCTTCATATCCTTACCAGCAATAGATCTTATTTCACTTTTAAAAAAATTGTTATTCTGGTGGGTAAAAGTGATATCTCATTGGTAGTTTAATTTGTAGAACCCTGATCAATAGTGCATTTGACTATCTTATTTGCATACCGACCATCAGGTTTTCTTCTCTGTCAATTGTTTATTTTTATTCTTTGCTCATTTTTCTTTTGGATATTTTAGCTATTTCTTGACAATTTGTAGGCATTTTGTGGTAGTGTAAATAGTATCTCTTCACCTGTTACTTGTTTTGCATTTTTTTCATTAATTTTACTTTTCTACTAATATATTGTTATAAAAACTGAGCAAGAACAGAAAATGAGTACCAAAAGTATATAAGGAGCTGTCAAAGGCATGGCTTCATCAGCAACCTTAGCTAGCTATCTCAAACACAAGGAAATAAAACAATTTCAAAAAGCAGAATCTTTTGTGGTTTTCGTTTTTTTAATATAATTTACTGTCAGATTGGTTTCCATACAACACCCTTTGCTCATCCCAACAAGTGCCCTCCTCTCTGCTCATGACCCAGTTTCCCCTCTCCCCCACCCCCCATCAACTCTGTTTGTTCTCAGTATTTAAGAGTTTCTTATGATTTTCCTCCTTCCTCTAACTCCCCCCACCCATGGTCTTCTGTTAAGTTTCTCAAGATCCACATATGAGTGAAAACATATGGTATCTTTCTCTGCCTGACTTATTTCACTTAGCATAATACCCTCCAGTTCCATCCACGTTGCTGCAAATGGCAAGATTTCATTCTTTCTCATTGCCAAGTAGTATTCCATTGTATATATATCCATTCATCAGTTGATGGACATTTAGGCTCTTTCCATAATTTGTGGTTTTCTAATTTCTTGACAAGGGAGATGGTCCTTTGTGACTGAGAAGACTTAAAGACTAAACTTTCTGGCCGTGAAGATTTGGCCATTTGCCACCATTACAGTTTTAAAGAGCACTGTCTGCTCTTCAAACAGGAAATCACCCTCTGTAAGCAGGAAGTGTGCCCTTGAACAACATAATCCATAATCCTCACGGCTGGAATTAGAACACATAGAGTTTCATATACCACTAAAACCGTGATCATCATATTATTTGACCACTTGGAGATTTTAGAGATTTTAGTTCTTGGCGAGTCAAACTTCAGGACTGATTAACACCTATGAGTAGCATCAAAATGAATTCCTTAAAGTAGGTAAACATAATATCTACTACTTGCAACTATTCTGTTTTTTAGCCAGAGACTGTCTTTGGCCACTTGGGGGAACTTAGTAGCCTCTAGCAAAACGGAATGTGATTAACATCAGAACACTAAGTGCGCAATATGTAATTACACTCCATTAGAATCTATCAAAACAAGATTATAATTACACTTTGTACATGACATCTTCCTTGTAAGGTTGGCAATTTAGAGCTCTGCTTAAAAATAGAGTGCTCTGCAATCTGCAGACCCCCCAGTCCATTTAATAATGACCCATCAATAGTCAACTTAGTTTTTAACAGAACAAAGGTATTGAAATGGACTTTTAATACTAACAACAAGAAACTAACTAAAATGTGTTATGTACAGACAGGGGAAAAATCACTAAAGCAAACAGCAACAACAAGGCAGGAGAGTAAGGCTGATTTAACGTGGCAAAACTTATTTAGCAGGTTTTTTAGAAACTGAACCCCAGCTTTGGACCAAGTGTTTGATTTATGCTAACCTTGTGACCCTTGACTTCCCAAAAGGTTTCAGTCTTTTCAATATCACTTCTTTAGCCATAACTTTATTAGAAAATCAACAACCCAGGCAGGGAACGTTAAAAATAAAACTGAGTACTTTTTAGAGCAATATGGTGAATATCAGATTGAAGCCACACAACAAGCCTGCAAAGGAATTTTTTTTTTTTGCCCTATTTTGCAGAAGGAATGATGCAGTCCTGTGAGGTTGTGTAACTTGCCCAAAGTCCCTTAGTTAGCAACGTTATACCTGAGATTCAAGTCCAGGGCTTCATGACTCTGGAAGCTATGATCTATTATATAACCACACTCTTACTGGGCACACAAAAACCAAGTCTCTGGTTAAGTTTTACTTTCAAAATCAAAAAAAAAAATAAATAAAAGGGAGTCAAGATTTGTATTAATTTGGAGAAAAGGCAAGAGAAACAACAACAAAACAAACAAACAAAATAACCCGGGGCAACAGAAAGAAGATTTGGACAGAGCATTGGAATTGGATGTGTGGAGGAAACGAAGGGTACTTGTATGTGGTGATGGTATTTCATTGAAGTCAAATAGTAGAAGGTGATATTACTCCATATCCATCATAAAGAATTAGGATTTTATTTTTCCAAAATGTAATAGCCCATAAAAGGTTTAATTTAAAGTAAGTTCAATCTAATTAGAAAATTCTTAGGTCCTAGCATAAAGCCCAAAGTCTGCTTATACCATGCTCTGAAAAAGTAATTGCTTGTCTCATGATCTCATAAAGGTATCACAGATAAGATACAATGATTGATTGTTAAGCTAGGGGATGGGTAGCCAATCCAGTGGAGAAGCCACAGCAAATGGAGTGCATAGCGTGTTTCAACTGAACACACAGAGAGAAGATGGGTAGAATGATCAGTCCCTTATATTAACTGGAAGTCTGCAGTGTACGTAACCCTCCAAACTCTACAAAGGGGAAACATGAGAAAAAGAGTTAGTAGAAATCCCACATGTCAGCCTCTCCATTTCATAGGAATAGCTAATCAAATATTTCCCTACAAGTTTAGAAGCAAAAACATATCACTGGTGATTACCAGCCTGGAAATGTAAAGGAAAAGATTTTCAAAGATAGCTGCTTTAATGCTGTCTCCTGTTATATGAGGAAACAGAAGCTGAGAGAAGTGCTATGACTCAATCTGAATTATAACTCATAACTGGGAGAACCTGGATCCAGGTGCCAGTCCTTCTGTATTCGATATACAGTAAAACCTTGGTTTTGTGAGCATAATTCATTCCAGAAACATGCTTGTAATAGAAAGCACTTGTATATCATAGCAAATTTCAAGAACCATTGACTCAGTTGTGATCATTTGACATTCAGTGTCATGAACGACTTGTACTACAAGACATTGCTCATTTATCAAGTTAAAATTTATTAGTGGGATGCCTGGGTGGCTCAGTAAGTTAAGTGTCTCACTCTTGGTTTTGGCTCAGGTCATGATCTCGTGGTTGGTGAGTTCGAGCCCCACGTCAGGCTCTGTGCTGACAGCTCAGAGCCTGGAGCCTGCTTCTGATTCTGTATCTCCCTCCTCTCTGTCCCTTCCCAGCTCGTGCTCTATCTTTCTGTCTCACTCTCAAAAATAAATAAACAACACATTTTTTTAATTGATTGTAGTTTTACTTCCTCACGTCTATTGGACCCCTGAATTTAATCTTTCTGCAAAGTCTGTAATATCTGTTGGGCAGGAATACTTCATCTCCCACTAAGGGAATGCAACTTTCTCTTACTCCTGTTTCCTAAGATTTGATTCTCCCATTTTGTTCCTGATACTCTACTTTTCTCTAGCTATCACTTATTTTTCTCTTCAAATGAGTCAATAAACCCTCTGCAAAGGAAGTTGATAACATATGCCAGAAACCTTTTCATCTTTTTACAGTTCATATTCTTTTTGGCTTACCACTCTCACTTGAAGAAATATTTGTCTAAATAAAGAAACCAAATGGCAAATGAAGACTTCTGCTCAAAATATTGTCATCACAGAATGACGTGTGATGATGAAAAAATTACAAAGACCTCCATATTTAGTGATATTGAAATAATTAAGTAAATTAAACTGTTCATATACTAGGGTGTTATGCTCTTATTAAATACTTTTATGAAAACTTTTAATAATATTAAAACACATATGAGATTATAAGTGGCCAATCTCATGGAAAATAAATATTTCTTTTGTTTGAAAAGAGTATTTGCAGGAAAAAAAAACTGAAGAAATGTACCAACTTTTAAATATCTTTTTAGTTTAGAATAATTTTAAACTTACAGAAAACTCGCCAAGATAGTATAGAGTGTCTGTGTACTCTTCACGTAGCCTTCCCCTGACGTTGACGTTATATAGTCCATGGTACATTTTCAAAGTGAAGAATTCAACAGTTTTACAATATTATTAACTCAACTACACACTTGATTCGCCTTTCACCAGTGTTCTCACTAAGATCATTTTTCTGTTCCAGGATCTAACTGAGGATACCACATTGCATTTGGTTACCATGTTTCCGGAGTCTTCTCCAGTCTGTGAGTGTTTCTCTGTCTTTTCTGTTTTATTTTTTCAAGTCCTTGAAAAATCTGAAGAACTCTTGTCAGATCTTGTTAGAATGTTTCCCAATTTTGGTGTCTCTGATGTTTTCTCATGATTAGTCTGGGCTTATAGATTTTTCGAAAGTGTACCCCAGAGGGGAAGTGCCCTTGCCATCATGTCATACCGGGCAGGACATGATAACAACATGGCTTATCACTGATGGTGTTAACCTGGATCACCTGGCTGAGATAGTGTTTACCAAGGGTCTTTACTGTAAAGTAACCATTTTTCTTTTTCCATACCCTGTTCATTTAAAGTCAACAGGCAAGTTGAGGGGCATGAAGGCACACTACCTAAAGAGGAGTATGTTTACAAATATTATCAGGAATACTTCTGTGAAGAACATCCTTCCTGCGGTTATTAATGTATCCATTGTTTATATTGCTTTGGACTTATATATATTTATTTATTCTTTGGGTTGTAATCCAGTACTGAGTTTTTCAAAGCCCACTGAGGGCATTAACATTGAATTACGCCATTCTAATTGACTTCTCTTTTGCTACCTTTAGAATATGTCCATTTCTTTTTAATGAGCAGATGCCAATTTTGTGACCAGAACAGGAAACAAAAACATTAATATCTATGTTAACCCCACAAGGGCAGACCAGTAATCAGATTACTCACATAGTCCAGTGCAATATTTGTTTTCGTCAAGGTTGTGTGAGATTGGGCTGCCATGTGCTGATTTGAGGCGAGTCTCACTCACCTTCATTGCCCGTATGATGAGTTGAGGGCCACCGATGAGACGGCTCATAGCTGACTCTTGGGCTTAGACTACATGTGTGGACTTATGTGTTTGTTCTCACCAGTGTGTGTTCTGACAACAGCACACAAGAGCAACAGGAGTGGGACAGCAGGAGTGGTGGCACATGTCTTTAACCCATGTGCCCTCTAGTGCTGTAAGCTGGGCTCTCGCGCCACACCCATTGCTAGCTCTGCTCCCAGGGTGTAGCTGTCCCCTGGAGTGGCTGTTGTGCATCTCCTCAAGGATTTTAAAACCATTGCTATGTAACTAAAGGGGCTCTTCTGCTCTTTTCTCTGATGTCTGTCATTAAGGATGTTATTCTCTCCCGAGTTGGGCCTCGTCCATGATTAGAGGGAGAGACATCCCTTGCATGAATGGAACCACTCTAGAGGTATGGTCAAAATTGAAAGAGGCCATTCTAGAAATGCAGTGATTATGGCTTAAAGAATTCCAGGAAAGGGGAGCCTGGGTGGCTCAGTCAGTGGAGCGTCCAGCTTCGGCTCAGGTCATGATCTCACGATTTGTGAGTTGGAGCCCTGCGTCGTCGGCTCTGTGCTGACAGCTCAAAGCCTGGAGCCTGTTTCAGATTCTGTGTCTCCCACTCTCTCTGCTCCTCCCCGGCTCATGCTCTGTCTCTCTCTCTCTCTCAAAAATAAGTAAACATTAAAAAAAAATTCCAGGAAAGATGTGGTTTTACGTTTACTCAAGGAAATTCCAAATAATAAATTTAACATGACAGGAAAATGTTCGCATTTTCTTACCTACTCTGGGTAAAATTGTTGACATTTTCCTGCATACTCTGGATAAAATTGCATTTGTGGTCATCGTCAACAAAGCAGAGTAAAAACCTTGAAAGAATCACTGGACTTCAGTGGTCCCTGGTGATAGAGCAGAGGTTGCAGCATCATGAGTATGTCGCCAGTATTGAGTAAATGCGATTAGGAATTGCAGAGGCAGCAGGATCTATAATATTGCAACACACACAGATTCCAAAGGGCAGTGTCACTGCGGCCAATAGCAGTGTCACTTCTGTTTTATTTGTTTTATTTCTGTTTTATTTTTTTTATGTTAAGAGATGTAAAGTTAGCCAGGAATTGCAGACTTGACATACAGGGGGGAAAACAGAGAGAGAGATTGACAAAGAGGTGGTTCTTGGATTTGTGCAGGAAAAGGTGGTGTTTAAGTACTACAAACATTCTTCACATATACTAACTGATAGGACATAGGAGAGTGAATATATGCTTCTTTGCCAATTTTGCTAGCTCTTTATCAATGAATCACTATACCTCACATGGCCCATGAATTTAATAAGGCACCATTTACTCAAAGTGTTATGCAGTGAAAAGAACCCCTCCCCCCAAAATATTTACTGGGACCAGCACATTCAAGGGGTAGCCCTTTTTTTGTCCCTGTTCCCACTACTATGTGCAAATTCCCAAACAGCATGTGTTGGGGGCAATCCTTTCATACATTTAGTATATCATGGTTTTGTCCTTGGCTCAGTGGTCAGATCTCCGAAATATTGGTCAGAAAAAGAGAAGGAAAAAGTTGTTTCTTATATTTGGGTCTTGCAAATTGTTCCCCAACAGAGCTGAGAGAGAAGGATCACTTCATTTTCCCTTAAAAAATCCCCTAGGGTTTGGGGCACCTGGGTGGCTCAGTTGGTTGAACGTCCGACTTCGGCTCAGGTCATGATCTCACAGCTCGTGAGCTGGAGCCCCGAGTCGGGCTCTGTGCTGACGGCTCAGAGCCTGGAGCCTGCTTCGGATTCTGTGTCTCCCTGTCTCTCTGCCCCTAACCCACTTGCATTCTGTCTCTGTCTCTCTAAAAATAAATAAACATTAAAAAAATTTTTTTGAAAAAAATCCCGTAGGGTTTGACAACTGTGTTTCACTGAAGAAGAAGAGAACCCACTACTTTCACCAGGGAAACCTCTACTGAGCTGTGTTGCTGGGGCATTTTGAAAATGTGACCTCATGTGGAGTTTTAACCAGCTGTTGTCCTTAGACCAAATCCTGTTGCAATTTATAATGCTCCTTCTCCATGTAAAATCCTGACGTCCTAAACATGTGACAGGTTCATACTACATAATTACAATTGGATTAAGACTGTGATAAAGTAAAGTAAACATATATGTAGGAGTTATAGAAGGTAAAAAATATATATATACATACACAATTAAAATTATACTTATTAATTATACTTATAAAATTATATTTATATATATACAATTAAAATTATATATATGTGTGTGTGTGTATATATATATATATATATGTATATATATATATATATACAATTTTGTGAGTTCGAGCCCTGCGCCAGGCTGTGCTATCAGCCTGGAGCTTTATATATATATATATATATATATATATATATATATATATATATATAAAATATACCTTTATATATAAATTTAACCTCATGAGGGGTGCCTGGGTGGCTCAGTCAGTTAAGTGTCTGACTTCAGCTCGGGTCATGATCTCACGGTTCATGGGTTCAAGCCCCACATCAGGCTCTGTGCTGACAGCTTAGAGCCTGGAGCCTGCTTCTGATTCTGTGTCTCCCTCTCTCTCTACCCCTCCCCCACACAGACTCTCTGTCTCTCTCTCTCTCCCTCTCCCTCAAAAGTAAATAAACATAAAAACAAAAATTAAAAAAACAAAATTAACCTTACTAGTAACCAAAGCAATATAATCGAAAAGGTTGCATTTTGCCTATTTCTTTGGCAAAGTTTGGGGTTTTTTTTAGTGTTCAGCACTGGCAAGTATGTGAAAAAATGGCCTGTGATTCACTGTAGGGAGGAGTGTAAATAACTATAAGTTTTTGGAAGGGTAATTTGGATATAGCTATCAAAAGTTTTAAAATGTACATATATTTTAGTCCAGCAATTCTACTTCTAAGTAGGTTTACTCAGTGTTTTACCAAAAAAAAAGTTTATTGCAAGGCAACAATAATTAAATCAAAAGGAGAACTAATCTAAATGTCAAAATTTATAAATTATACGTTCATATATGAACTTCTCTGCAGACATTAAAAATAATATAAAAGTATCTGAAATAGAGGGAATATAATAATACATCATAAATAAAAATAGTATGTGGCACCAGTAAGGTACAACATTATTAAATATATATGACATGTATATGTGTATATATGTTTATGTGCAAAAAGATTACTTAGAAAATATTAACACTGGTCTTCTCTGAATGATGACAACTGGAGTTATTTTCTATGACTTTGGTGGTAATTTTTAAGTTTTCATTGTCCAAATTTTCTACGGTGAAAATACGTTTATAATCTAAGCAAACTACATATTATAACTTTCAAACTGCTACCTTCTCATTCATACATATGGACACATACATTGTCTTCTGACTGCCCTGGTTTATATTTATATACTCTACTAATATATCACTTTTATTAAGACGATCACATTAATGTTTAGGAAGATTCTGAAGTCAGAGCAATTAAGTGATAATAAACTGCTTTCACAAAACACATTTTTAAAATTAGTAGGATGCATAAATTTCAAGCCCACAGCTTAATGAACCTTTACATAATTAAATGACTTAGGCAGAGACATAGAGCAATGCCATCACCTAGATCAAGACCTAGAACATACTTGTTATCTCAGAAAGTTGCTTCTTAGGACTTTCTGGTTGAGAGCCACCCGGCACTTTAGTTCATGGTAGTTGCAGAAGTCGTGGTCAAACCTACCATGTGTTTAGCTCTTGCCATGGGCTTGACTCTGTGCTAGATCCTCTAAATACAATATCTCAGGGAACCTAGGTGGCTCAGTCACTTAAGCATCCGACTTCCGCTCAGGTTGTGACCTCACGGTTTGTGGGTTCGAGCCCCGTGTCAGGCTCTGTGCTGACAGCTCAGAGCCTGGAGCCTGCTTTGGATTCGGTGTCTCCATCTCTGCCCTTCACCTGCTCACGCTCTGTCTCTCTCTCAAAAATAAATAAACATTATGGGGCACGTGGGTGACTCAGTTGGTTAAGTGTCTGACTTTGACTCAGGCCACGATCTCACAATTTTGTGAGTTTGAGCCCCACATCAGGCTCTGCTGCCAGCCTGGAGCCTATTTCAGATTCTGTGTATCCCTCTCTCTCTGCCCCTTCTGCTCATGATCTATGTCTCAAAAATAAATAAGCATTAAAAATTTTTTTTAAAAATTAAATAAAT